GTCACCATTGTGACCCAAGCAAACTGAGCACCCTCTATACCCATGAAGTCACCTTCATGGCTTCCACTCTTTGGAACACTCAACTAAGCTCAACTGTGGCTGTAACCCCTGCTTGATCAGCACTGAACATCAATGGCAACCCATATCCCATGACAGACACTCGTTGCTCTTTATGATGCCACCTTCTTTTCTCTCTATACTTCACCTTTTTATGCTTTGCTTTCTTATACATGTAACTTCTCTTCTCTGTTTAGCAATATGCAACCTTGTACTGTATCATGACATCACTGAAATGCTAAAGTCCACTGTAGAAGTTGGAAAAAAGTTATCCCTACACTAAGAGTTCTGTCCCTCTAAGGTAGAGCTTTTAGAGCTTCAACTGTTTCTTGAGTTAATATCAACACAACGAATTAGATAAAGGCATAGGTGTATAGCACAGTGGTTAGACATTTAAAGAAACATATGGGTTTTATAAATCTACATTGCTCATTTTCTTATAAACTCATTTTAAACATTTAAATAATTCTCTTTTTTTCCAGAAGACAATATAGAAAATTACCTTGAACTTTAACTTGGACATTTTCCAACTCAGTAGACCAGTATGCCTCCTCAGGGTATATATCTGGACTGATGGAGGTCCCAGAGTCAGGCTACTTTCCATAAATATATATGGAGCCTCCATGGAGCTAGAGACATTATCCTGCCCTTGTCTATGGATACTCTATTAAAAAAAACTACAGAGAAATATGAGCCAGACTCTCAAGATATCATATAAAAATGATTTTTTTAGTCAATAAGAGAATTATGTACATTGTAAATCAGAGGAAGAAAAGTTGTCCGTGTTGAAATCCCTGAAGATGGAACAGTTGAATGCTCTCTGCTGAAATGAGAGACCTATACTTTCTCAAGCAAAGGTCAGCATCAGTCCCTTCCCAGGCAGGCACAGATCCACACCATTAGGTTGACCAACAAGCCAAATGATTGGGCCCTGTCTGAGCAGCCCCTATGCCACCTCTGCATTTTAAAGTAGCCACACTCCTTTCCAATAACCCAATTTACTTCTAAAAAGGCAGTGTAGTCCTGGCTGGAAAAGGAAGAGGAGGCATGCTTGTCTTGCTTGCAATTCCTTCCCTTTGTCACAGGCTTCATAGGAATGTCTATTGATGGCTTCTAATCCCTTGGCTTGTACTTGCTTTTGCTTTCCCTGGAATACTCTCTGCTTGCTGGCTGCCTGTCTTAATTATGACCCTAAATTCCTGTGGTTTCCCAATAAAGGTGATGGAGGAGCAAAGAGGCAGAGTTAGCCACAGACACATCTGCCCTGGGCCCTTTGAATAGGCCAGGATAATTCCATTCCGTGGTCTTTCTTCTCAAGGACAACAGATGAAAGGAAATGGATAGCATGTGTGATTCTATAGTCTTGTTCAATGGAATGTGAATGACTCAGGAGGGCTGTGTGAAGAAGGGTCAGAGGGAGGGAAGAAGAAAGAAAGAGCTGCAGGTACAATTGCTTCAGGCTGCATCGTTAGCTGGCAGTTAGGACATGACAGGTTGAGTCTTCTTTGTTCCTTTTGAAGAGGCACCATGGACTGATGGGATAAACCCAATCCTCCTCTTTAAAACTCTTGAGTATTCTTCCTCAACTACTTCAGGAGGAACCTCCACAATACCAAGTTACACGGGATGAAATGTTGGCCACATCAACAGCCACATATTTGTTGTTCACAAAATTTTTCTGTTCCTCCCAAGCCCCCACCCCCCTCCCAGTTCTCTCTACTCTGGACTCTTTCCTGCACCCCATGGCTCTCTCCTGCATCCCTGTCTGACCAGGATTCTATCTCCAAAGACAGAACACAATTAGTGGTAATATTTATGAAATAGCCATCAGGTCCTGCCATACCATTTAGCCCTGTCTGCAGCCTTAACTTTTTAGCCCATAGGCCTAACTTACTGTCATTACCTCCCTCCATCCCCCCCTTTTTTTAAAACCCCATCTTTCAGAGCAGGCTATAGTGGCCAAGGCATCCCACTGATTTGCCCCTTTGAGTTTCTCAATACTCCCCATGGCACTTTCCATTTGTCCAGACTTAGAAGGGTCAGTGGTGGAAGTGAGAGGTGGGGGAATGCTCACAGAGAAGCATGTCTATATATTTGCTCAGCAATAAGTATGGTACCTTTGGGTGCATGCTAATGGCTCTGTCTCTCTTTCCCCTACACAGGGCCTGGAGCAGTCATTGATGGTGTAAACTCGGCCTCTAGAGCGCTGGCTTGTCTCTGGCTATCAGGGACCCTCTTTGCCCACTTCTTCATCAAGTTTTGATAAGAAACCATAGGTTCTCTGAGCAACGCCTGCTTCTCCATATCACAGACTTTAATCTACACTGCGGAGGGCAAACCAGTTTGGGCTTCTTTTTGTTTCTTTGTTTCTGATATTCTCTCTTGATTTTTTTTAAATTTTTATTCTTCAGTTTTGTTTGTTTATTTGACTTTTTTTCCCAGTTTCAATGAGTGGGGTTGGGGGAGGGGAGGGCAGGGTTCTACCATGTGTAGGCTAATCACTCATTGGTGTGTCCAAAAATGGAATCTGTTCCTGCTCCCTGAGCTCTTCCCTTTTCTCTGCTTCCCTCCCCATCATCACCACCACCAACCTCTCCTGTCCCACACACCAAAACATGAGCTCCATTTGGGCAAAACCGTGCCTCGTGATAAACACCCTGAAGACACAACTTGACTTATAATGTAGTGCACAGCAAGAGTTATATCCAAGTGTCCTATTATCTGTGTCTTTTAAGCTTTGGGTCATTTTCCTGATTACAATGTACATATCCCTCTCTCCATGTTTATTATTATCTAATTACATTAGGGTTCACATCCTTTCTTTCTGGAAAGTTATCTCAAGGCATATATATATATATATATATAATTGCATCTTCTCTAGGTACTCTGCTCTATATGCGTTTCTCACCAGCTACAGGGATGCGAGCTTTGAAGCTATTCACTCTACCCCATACTAAAAATTTAGAAGTCGAATGACCACAAGGGGGGTAGACATTTTGAGGATAGTATTTCCCTTAAAAAAATGCTGTTCAGCTCATAAAAATGATTTATAGATAGCTGATTGTTTAGGTTTTATCAAGCTATCTATCAAAGTAATCATACAGTTATCCATCTACTCAATTCTCTGATTTTCCTCTCCATTCAATTATCTATCCACCCATCTTTCTCTCTAGTAATCTATTCACTCTATTTGTCAATCCATCAATGTAATTCTCTAACACTTCTTTCTATTTCTTTCCTCACTACTCACTATCAATTCATCACCATATTAATGTCTAATCATATGGTGTCTCTTCAACTGTATTCATTTCTCCTCTACCTTCAGCAGACATTGGCATCTTCAAAATTACCTATCAGCTTCTCATGTGAAAGCCAATGATCTCACAGGCTAACAGCATAGAAAAGCAATATGGCATGGACTCTTTGGAATGTGATATCCCATCCACCCAACGTAGATGCGGTTAACGGATGGACCAAAGTAGAATTCTAATGATCAGTCACTCACTATTCCCAGAAGTGACTGGGTTTCCACAGCCACCTTCTTGGGAAGTCAATTGACCCTGGCGAAGCCTGGATTGCTGCGTATTTTTCTTTTTTCACACTTGAAGGACCAAGGAGCCAACCTTCATGCTTCTCTCCGCCTTTCAAGAAAGTGTATGTCAGGAACCTATAGGATTCACCCCAGGGCTGGCTTCTCTTAATAGCAAAAGCAAAGAAGAAAACAAACACATCTGACTGTGGAACGGAAAGAAAGTAGTCCACCTGTCTGAGTGCGATGACTTCAGCTATTGTCTCCTCTCTGCTCCAGTTTCAGTTGAATCTGTTTGAAAACTATCCAGTAAAAAGCCGATGAGGCCAATTACATGGTGGGTGTGTTGACAACTCTGGTGTTTGTATCAGAAAGCTCTTCTGGGCTGAGGAGGGCACTTGAGCAACCCACTTAATTTCCAAGCACGTGATTAACACAACACTGCGAACAGAGGGGGAAAGTGGAAGTGACTCACAATTTCCTCTGCTACCGGCTGCTGCTCCACCAGCTCTGGGGGAGAATGCCCTCAGCTCTCCATCGTCAAAGCAGACCTAGTATAGAAACAGGAGCTGATCTGACCTTTCTACGTTATCTCCTGGGACAGGAAGGACTCGGCCAGTGAGGATGCCGTGATCCAGAAGAAGGGCGTTGAAAACCACACAAGGCTGTGTTTCTCTTCACCTGTGCTGCAGGGACTGTCCTACTGAGCGGGTGAGAAAGAAGCATCCACATTGTCTAGCTCTCACACCTACCCTGACCCGACTGGGAAACTGTTTCAGCAAAATAATAAATAATAAATATGTGTGTGGCTATGTGCACATATAAAATACAAACCTTTTTGCCTTGGCATACAAACACCTAGGCACTTTCACAAGCGTTTGAGCTGGTGCAAGTGAAATTAATACGACATTTGCCAGCTGTAAACAGACATCTGCATTTCCTAGCGAGCCACCAGGAGCCGGATTCTGGGAACATAAATGATGTGCCAAACGCAGTGTATCGATTCCAAGTTTCCAGGGACAATCATGAGCAGACATAAAGTCATAATTAGAAGTCGGACATCAGTGTTTCAGATCTGTCACCACATTGAGCACCTGGAGTCGGGTTGGTGTCAGACGTTGGATGAGAATCAAATGTGTCATGGGAGCGGTCTACTGATCATCAATTTGATGCTTGGGAATCAAATAAATGTGGAGGCTGTGGAGAGTTGGCGGTTTCAAAGAACAGGTTCTTGAAATGGACAAGCTGTACATGTTCTTCAGTCCAAGACGCGTCCTAGAGGAAGGGGCCCACCCTCCTTGGGCCATGAAGGCCACTAGAACCTTCTGAACAGGGCAAGGCTGGGCCTCAGAGTCACGAAGAAACTCTGCACTGCCTTCTTCCTCTGGACACCAGGAAGCACCTCTGGTAGTTGCCTATTCCAGCCACACTTCCGAGGAGGAACAGCCTATAGCCAATCCTCGTCTGTCTGGGATAAAGGAAACCAAGTAAATAAGACCCCAGGAAGCTGGGCGCTGGGAAAGGAAATTGCTCTTCCTCACAACAGATGGCCCCCAGCTTCTGTGTTGTTTGGGTTACTTTGGTGGGGATGGCTCTATATGACAGTAGGTCTTCCCCAACAGTTTGAAGCATACTGAGCAGTAAATGCTCACTAAAGATCACATCCACAAGTACACGTGCTCTTTCAACTTTACGTATGGAGGGTAGATGGATAAGGCCTGCTGGATAGATTTTTTTTCAAGGTGTCCATGGTGGGGATGGAGTAGGGGTAAAGGAGGAAAATCAAACAAGTCTCTGAGCATCCTATGGCTCTTCGCGGGTTTTCCATGGGAAGATAACCAAATAATGCTTATCCGAGAGTAGGTGAGAGGAACTCAGCAATGCAGTTCCCCTCTGAAACCCTCCCCCTTCCCCCAGACACAGTTGAAATGGACTTCCACCAAAGTGATGCCAATGAGAGTGCTAGTGTTAAGATTCTGGCCAAGCTTGTCTTCTCAGAAGTTTAATGTCAAGTGCCTGATATAGTCATCTGCAAGTCTAAGCAAGTGCTTTTAGTTTTTCTCATTCGTGCTTTAACTGGGGGAGAGGAGACATACAGGAGAATGTGGTGACACATGCATATATTTTATGCAGGGAGCGCACTGTGCATGATTGTTCTTCTGCAACTGTGCTCAACTGAATAGAAGGAAAGGTAAGGCTTTGTATCCAAAAAGAGGTCTGGGCCTCTTTCCTTTGAAACCAGTGCCTCGTCCTAGATGGTATGTTTCCAAGATTGGGCAGTGAGTTCTCAAGACCTGGGTGGGAAGTGTGCTCTGGGACCCTAGAAACTCCATAACCAAGGATGAATTGAAGGATCTGTTTCTGCATCAACCCAGTTGCCTTGCACTCAACATGGAAGAATTAGCAAGTTCCACCTATGACAAAAGTACGCTTTCGTGAAAAGTGTAGAGAACCTCAAGGTGGGCAGTGGATCCGAAGAGAGTTTATCGCTGTCACTGCATCAGGAGTGGCTGTAAATTGAATAACCTGGTTTTGGTCGGTGATTCCAACGCCACTGAGATTGTCTTCTCCTCTGTAGTGATGTATGAATGGCATCAGCCCATCAGTAGAAGGATGTGAGAAATGGCTCAAGATGAGGAGAGATATGGGGTGGGGTAATCCTTCGCAATTTCACCCCGTCTTAACCAGAGAAACAGTGGCTTTGCAGTACCTGGAACCAGCCCTCCATTCTCCCCTCCCCCAAAGAACACAACCCACAAATTTTTATTTTTTTAAAGAGAAAAGTTTAATCTCTTTAGAAATAGGAAAAGCAGCATAAAATTTTTCTTCTTGGAAAAATTCATTTTTAAAATTTTTTTTTGTCCAATAAGGAGAATCTTCATTTTGCACAAGACCTATACCTAGAAAAGCTTATACCCAATTGCCTCCCCGTGGTACTATCCAAAGTTTCCCTGTGTCTTTCTCTTAAGACAAATACGTTTGAGCAGTTGCAATAAAACTTCACAGGTGTGTAACGAGGAAGGCATCATTTTCAAGAAAGATACCATATGATGAGAACGCCTAATGATCACTGAAAGTAAGCAAATAAAAATGCCAGTCTCATTTCCCTCATTTCTTATTTAAGAGAAGAGAAGTAAATGAAAGGAAGAAGAAAATAGATTCGCAATTAAAAGAAATGGCCCAAAGAGCTGAAAAGCGTGCAATTTAGCCTTCAGGTGCAGAATTCTGGGAGTCCAGAGGAATGTGGAGTGGACTCAATTAGGCCCAATTGTCTTCATCCTGAAAGTAGTCCGCCAAACCTCATTTCCCATATTTTGAGAGATTCCTTTTCGTGTCTTTCAATGGTGCCCCTTTGAAGGCACACAGTTTTCCACACCACTGAGTGCAAGAAGAAAGATTGTGAACCTTCCTACTCTTTCTCGGCCACATTCTCTGCTACTGGCAGATCTATAAGGACATCGACAATAGCAATGATAAGTAATAATAGCTCCCCTCGAGTTAGTTAGAGGGAGCATTTTTAATCATTCAAAAATTTTTGTGACATGTACAGTGCAATTGTGCGGAATGTGTGCGTGTACGAAAATGTATCTGTCAAGTTCAGAGTCCTCTAGATTAAAAAAAAATTATGACTTATCAATAGTGCCGTTATAGCTATGTCAGACAATGGGTGTGCCCATTCTCACGATTATCCTTAAAGCAAATCTATGTTCAAATGCTTTAAAAATTGATCACATGATACAAGAGTATAACTTTGTCAGCTCTCTAGAGTTCTTTTTTTTCTTCTTTAATTTTCTCCCCCATTTTTTTTCCTTAAAAATCAATGAAGAATTGATTTCTGTCAATAATTGTATTAAGGGTGAATATACTACCTGAATTTTGTGCATGTTACATTGTAGTTGTAACCTTTTCTAATTCAGGATGAACACGAGATGGTTGTGATTGTGCAGTGTATCAATAAAATTCGAAGAAATTTGTAATTTTGGGGGGGCTTGTTATTAGGCTATATCATTGAGCACTCAGGAATGGAGAAAAGTGAAGCTAACTATGCTACTCCCATATATGTGGTTTAGGCTTTGGGGAGTAGACACAATCAGGAATGCAAGTATATCTTCTCTCTCTCTCTCTCTCTCTCTCTCTCTCTCTCTCTCTCTCTCTCTCCCACCCCCCACTCCAAGCATATACACACATACAGCATAGAAGGCAGTCTACACACTTTCTCTATACACATGTATATCTAATATCT